GCCTGAGACTTCCTGACTGTGTGGCTCCTGCCCATCTTTCCGGGCAGCCTGTAGAGGATCTCCCTCCCAGAGGAGTGGTCTTGGGAACCACTGGCACCCACAAGGTGCACGTGAGGGATGGGAACTTACAGCCCGTGGGGACTGCACCATGGGCATTCTTTGGGCTGAGAAGACCTTTGGCCTTTGGCCCTATACTAACCCCTCCACACCAAATCCTGAGCCACAAGGCCTTCAGGAGATCATTTGGCAACTTCATCCACGCATACCGCTGGTCTCCAGTCTGATGCAGCCCCTTAAGAAGGAGATGATCAGAGAATGGCCTGGGACTTCTAAGGCAGAGGTGAGCATGGGCAGGCCATGTTGGGCCTGTGCGCTAAGTAGCTTTAGAGCTACTCAAGGTCTGCCAGTGTGTAGACATTGTGGACTCTGACCTGGGCTAAAGCTGTGATTGCAGTTTGATACCTAATTAGATTTCAGAACTGCAGATCTTTATCTTTCCTAGTTTGGTATAGGTATCCATGTTCTGACTGGTTTGGATTGTAGGTAATCCCAGTCACCTCCAGGAAATTGTTTAAATGGTCAAGGTTAAGATACCAATTAAGGGGAGGTGGTCAAAGCTTGGGGAGTCCTTCAGGACTTACATGACATATGTACTCACTACAGGCAAGGCTCCCTATTCTGGGGGTGTGAGCATATTGGTAGTTGGAGAATAGGTTGTGAGGGACATTGCATTCTACATGAAGGACTACACTTTATTTTTTTTTTTAAGATTTTATTTATTGTGTCAAAGAACTGGGTGCAGGCCAGAGGTGCAGGGATATATGTAGGTGAAAGGATTCACCAGAGAGAGTGGGGTGAACAGATAGATTGACTGAATTACACTGCTGAAGGGAGCAGCCGGTGAGACAGGAGAGGTCTGCTGTGCCATATGTGGTCAGCTCCCTGCCGAGGATGGAACTCTGGCCATCGTGGTGGACCTTCATGGTAGTAGCACTGAGACTTAACCTCTAGGCCACCAGGGAGACCCCAAGAGACTGCACTTTAAAGTGAGATTCGCTCTTTGCTAATCTGAAAGAAGCCAGATGCTTGGAGGGGTGCTTGGTGCCTGTGGATCCCCCACACGTTTCAGATACCTCACTGTGCCCCACCTCTGTGAGTAGTCCAGAAACCTCTTTCCCCTGAGCCATTTATTAGGACTGACACTTCTGTGGCATCACACAGGGCCTAGGGTGGAAGTGGGGAGAGGAATCAGAGCTCCCTAGGAGCTGTAGTGAAGAGCACTGGAGAAAGGTGCCTTGGACTTTAAGTCTTGGTCCTTGGCTGACTCAGGTGCAGAGAGGGGTCTATGAAAGGATCGGATTCAGTTGTGAAGGACACAGGGATAGGAGACAGTAAGGAACTATGCAGATGTTGATGGAGCCCCTGCTGTGTGTCCACTGACACTGAGGGGAAGGTGAAGTAGGGTTCCTGCTCACCCTCTTGTGCCAAAGGCACTTCCTGAGAAACCCCTACCCCTCCAGGACACAAGCCCTGGTTGTGGGATCACCAATCCCATGTTCCTGCCTCTTCTAGTCTTTTGGGGGCCCTGGAAGATAGGATTCTCTCTCATGACTCTCAGTTACCAGTGTTTCCACATCCTGGCTTTATTGAAGCAACAGGTGCTGATGTGTCAGTTACAGAAATGTTTCCTTAGACATCATGTTCCAGCCCGCATCCCAACCTCATCCCCACCACTAACCACCCTCAGCTTTATCTGCCAACCTCAGGCTAGCAAACTCCCACCAAATCCCAGCTATGAATCGTTTCTGAGGTTCCTCCCATGCCATGTCCTGTAGTTTTAATCACACCCACTAGGCTTCAATGAGAAGACAGGGTCCCAGAAGCTGCCCTTGATTGTTTTGCAGGAGCTCCATCCGTCTATGGACATGATAACACTCTGTAAGGCTTTCTTGAACTCTGGGGAATTACTTCTTTCAGTAATACATTCTTGGATAATTCTTTTGGCTAAATAAGAAACACTGTTAGGAAAAATGCAAGTCAACTATTCTCCCAGCCACAGGGGTCCTGTAAGTCCCCATCCCCTAGGAGGTAACTTGGGCAGGTCTTCCCCATCTGCCCTAGAGAGGGAAGGGGAAGCCATGTGGTGATAGTGGAGCCCAGGTTTGGAGGACCACCCGTAGCTTTGGGGGGCCAGCAGGCGCGAGTAGGTGCCATTGCTGCCCAGGATAAGGACATGAAGACAGGCAACATGGGGGCTTCCCAGGGGGAGTACAATCAGGGATCAAAGAGAGAGGAACATTCTTGTCATTTCCCCTGGCTTTCCCCACATCACGGGTTCCCATCAGGGCTCATCAGCCCAGAAGAACCCCATGGGCAGGGCATAACAGCCAGACTCAACTGGCTACCTGATCGGGACTGGCACCAAGTAGCTCTTCTTTCTCCCCAGGCTGAGTCCATGACCAGCCTGCTTTGACCGGCATCAGACCTGCTCCACACTGACCCCTGTCCACCGGGACAGCAACCTCAAGAATGAACTCTAAGTCCAAATTGCCCAACACCCCTGTCAGTGAGTGGATGTCTCAGATCAGAAAACAGTTCCTGAGGCCTCACATGAGACGTTAAGAAGTCATTTTCCACTCTGCACTCAGGCTGTGGTGGCAAAGAAATTATATCTGGGGTTCCCCTAAGTGCAAACAGCAACTTACTGTAAGCTTTGAGCAGATTTGGGTGAGCTTTTTCATGCCTTTATAAATCTTTTGTATGTGAACGTCTTGCTGATTAGAGTGCTTAAGTTTCTCCATGGTGCAGATAAAGTCTTTTGTAAACTCTCCATAGCAGGATTTCTGTAACAAAGTTGGGGGCACGTGGAAGGTGGTGGTGCACATAGGAACACTAGATGACCCCCCCACATCATCTATCCGTGACCCCAGTTTAAGCTCTTGCCTGATTGTCTCATAGGAGGCACATGGGCCTTGCCACCTATGCAGTGAGTGTCTGGTCTCTCCCTGGACAAGAATGCTCTGGGACAATGGTCAGAACACCCAAGAAGGTTCAGGGTGGGCCCAGATGCTGGTTTATCAGGTAGGGAAGGGGGCTCCATCCCCAAATTCCCTGATTTCTCCCCATATTTCTCACTCCAATACCCCTGTCCTTATCTCTGCCCTGCGTCCTAGCTAGGGTGATCCCTTTAAAAATGTGAGCAGAATGGCTCTTGGGGTGCCTTCTCCTTACCTCATTGGTGTTCTGAGGCCTTTTGAAGGAGTCCTGGAAGGAAAAGAAGTTGATCAGAATCACAAAACACCACCAAGAACAAAGGAATATTTGAGGAAGATTCAGACTTACGTTGTACATAATGTTGTCAGCTGAAAGTTCTTTGCAAATCTCAGCACAGACTTCGTGGTAATTATCATGGGGAGATTCGTTGGTGATCTTCATAGGGACACAGTGGCTTTCTGAGCTCCAGAGCACACGAGTCAGGAGCAGGAACAAGTGCATGGTACTTTGAAGGTGGCTCCAAAATGACCTGAGCTCTATATATGTGAGTCTAAGGAAATGCTGAATCTCTTATCAGTTATCACTGGCTTGTGAGGAAAACAGAGAGGACTTTATCACTAGGCAAAATGTGCTTTTGATGCATTTTCTATGACCGCAGCCCACTTCATGGATTCTTGTCTTTGCTAAAATTCAGGCTTAGTCTTAAGATTTTTCTTCATAACCACATCTGGAGTCATGATCTTTCTGCCTGGTTGTGTGAGAAAGGTCTTTGGAGTGGCCTAGTCTGCAGTTAATGGCTAGAGCAGAGAGCTGGCGGTGGGGAAAGAACCAGGCAGGGACGTGAAAATTGTGCCCCTAGGCCCACCTGTGAAGGAGCAGGTTGGCCCCACTGCTCACCTGGTGCTTGGGAACACACATCCTTCCTCCTAGTTCCCAAGAGGGACACAGGAGTATGTCTTTTATTCTGCTGGCAAAGCAAGAGGACAGAGGGGAGCTGCTATTTCCTTGGTCTAAATGCCATGGATTTTAAGAAAAATATGCCTGAATGGTTAGAAAATTTCATGTAAAAATAAAAACCAGCACCGAAAAGCACCACATTAACAACCATGTATCAACAAATTGTGAGTTTATATTCTGGGTCTCAAAGATTAAGATAACCCATTTAGGGGGGAAATTTCATAAAAATGCTGAACTCTGACCCCTGTGGTTTGAAGCCTAAAGAAAAAAAAAAGAATTAAAAAAAAAAAATTAAGCCTGGGGGCAGGATGTGACCAACAGAGCAACAGAGTCCAGGCCTGTGACAGACAGTTATTTCCCCTGATACTAATGTGTCTAGTGACCAGTCAAGCCCCCGAAACTCCAGGAAAAATGATGTCCCTTCTCTAGAGCAACATTCCCACTGGGCAGGTCCTTGGTTTCTAAGTGAACCTGGACACCTCTCCCTGAGGAGGGAGCCCTCTAGCATCAGGGGAGCACATGAGGATTTGCAGAATGCTGCACTCAGACTGTCTGACACCTCCGACACCTCCTCGCCCTGGGCGGCAGCACTGCCCTCAAGTGGTGCCTGACTTCTAGAGGCCCCTGCTCACCCCCACCTGCCAGTTTCCTCCCCTTCCTGCCCAGTAAGGGGGGAGAACAGCACCAGCATTTACTTGTGATTGAAAACAAACTGGAAAATGGCACAAATAACAGACTTTTATTAATTTATTGATATGGAAAAGCATCTTGAATAAATATGAAATATGAGCTTAAATAAATAAATATATAAATAAATAAATATTACAATATATAAATATATAAATAAATATTACTGATCCCTAGAGGAGAATAAAACACTCCTCATGTTTCAGCCACACCCAAATTGGGGTCATCATGACCCAGCCTGTGGTCCCTCCAGGGTCAAGATCCTGAGTTTTGTTTGGTTCTGTGTGGTAGGAGGACAGTCATTTGTGAGGTATGCTTCCAGGGCTGGCCCCTGACTGTCCCAGTCTGCCTCACTTCTGGACTTAGTCCCAGCAGTCTAAGGGGATGTCTTCCAGAAAATTCTTCAGGTTCTCTTTGAAACTTTTGAAGGTGATAAAGTGGGTTTCACAGGAAATTGCCTTTAAAAAAAATAGTAAGAATAAGAAAACTTTAGTCCAAGCATGAACAGGTCACATGGGGGAAGCACAGGGTGTTTCCGTGCTGCCTCTTAAAACTCAGAAGCCAGAAAGTTTGTTTGTGACCCACCTGCTGACCTGGGTCAAGTGTTGCCACCCATGTGTCACCCATAGTGTGCCCAGCTTGCCAGCAATAGGTGGGGCCTGAGATTGACAAAGTGCCAGCCTAAGGCTGTTCTGCTAGAAAGTTAAGCCACGGCCTCTTTGGTTCCAGGCCAGGCCAGAAGAGCTGGGCTGAAGCCAATTTTAGGAGTCGCAGAAGTCAAGGCCACAGACCTTCCTTCCTTCCTTCCTGCAGGAAGAGTGTTTTGGGCTTTTGCCCCTTCCAGGATGCACCCCTCCATGCTCCCATGCAATCCTGGGGGAAAGTCCTGTTGGGAGGTAGCACTTGGGCATGGGGAACTTCCTCTGCCTCAGGCAGGCCCTGAGTTTCTTTGGGTTTGCCTCACCTCTGACCTCATTAACCATAACAACAGCAATAATAAGAGTAGTAGCAGTTCCAGCTAGGGGACGCTGTGGACGTCATCTGGCATCTCCTGGAGATGAAGATCGGCTGGGCTGCTCCTCAGGGGAGACTGATCATTACAAAGCTGTTGTCACAGAACCCCTTTGGGATGAACACAATTTCTCCTTACCCAGTACCTCACCCTCCAAAGAATTTTCCACTCGGGACCCTGAGGTGGCTACCTTGTGTGGGGTGGGGGCGCACGATGGGTTGTAGTGGCTGGCCATCATGGTCAAGAGGCCCTTGAGATTAACGATGCTACCCCGTAGGCCCCGCTTATACAGCTCCAGGCGGGTCCGCAGGCACGTTGGCTCCTGTGGAAAATGTTCATTCTTTGGTGAGCAGCAGCCAAGCTCCCGCCCCTGGCCACAGAATATCCTCTCCATCATGCTTTCTTGCCCCCACTTCCATTTCCCAAGAGTAAGACCTGAGAAGGACACAGCATGATTTCCGACTAATCTCAGCAGGGTCTGATCATCGAGGTTGCTTCATTGCTGCTATTCCCCACAGGCACAAGTCTGACTCCTCCTTGCCACTCAACTCAGATCACCCTCAGCCAGCACAGTCACATTCCCGTGGTCTGGCATCTCAAGAGGGTACCAGCCCTCAGCAAAGGCGGCCAGTCCTCCTCCACCACTTTGAGCAGAGCAGGGTATTGCCCAGATCTGTGTGAGCTGACTTATTCCTGAAGCCCCCGTGTGCCCCTCTAGCCAGCATGCTGTCTGTATGGGTTTTGGTCTCAGGACGGTGAGTGCCCAATCCCATAGCCCTTGTCTCACGAAGTAACCCCTGTTTCCCCACCTGTTCCCTTCTGGTCCCTGACCCCTTGAATGCTAGGTCTGCCCATGGCTGTTAAAGCTAGTAAAGTTACCCGTGTGACTGCCCAGAGAACAAAATCAGCGTCCTCCTGATTGCCCCTCATCTGGCAGCCACTTGGCTGGAGAGAAAGTGGGCAATTCAGTGGACTGTCCATCTAAAATGGGCCCTCCCCTGGAAGAGATCACCTGGATGGTGTGTTAGCTAAAAGCAACTTACCTGGGGGTCAAACCTTTTAGAGACGACTTCTACCATTTCATTCTGTAGAAAAGGAAAATGTGTTACCAAACTGACAGATCCAGTCCTGGCCAGCAAAGATGGTCTTGGCATGGCTTACACTCCTTCCCCACTCACCAGCACAGCAGCACGGTCATTACTCTGCTTCAGAAGTTTCAGGGCCTCCTTGATGGCATAAACATGCTGCATGGGCTGAGTGACAGCGTTGGATCGGCCGGTGGGTGCAGAGATGCTGCAGGCCACAGTGCCCAGGAGAAGCAGGTTCTGAAGCCACATCCTCCTGGGGACTTTAGCCTTTCTCTCTGAGTACTGGGCTCACTGGTAAAAGGGCTCTTATATACACAGTTAGAGGAAATGATTAATGGTGACCACAAAACGCCTGGGAGGCGGGGGAACTACCTGAACTGTGGAATCTCCTGTCCCTTATCAAGCTGGAAGCCTTTTCCCCAGGTGGTCAGACGTAGGGAGGGGGTTCACTAATTAGACTTTCCAAGAACTAGCAGCCCACCCACCTTCCCCCACCACCTCCTTAAGCCCTTTCCAACCCTCCCTGGGCAATCTGACCAGCAGAGACCACTCCCTCCCTCCCTCCCTCCCTCTGAGAGGCCCCCACAGCACAGTTTGGACTTCCTGACCTCAAGTAGCCAGGGGGTGGAGCCTGTGAGATGCTGGAAGGGGCTCCTTTTCCCAGGGTTTCCCATGCTGTCTGCTGTGCAGAGAGACCTTTGGGCTACCCTAGTGCCCATTCTAACCAAAACCTTGCTCTTCTATTCCTAAGGCCCTCTTCTCCATTCACAGTGAAGGATTTGAATGTGTAGAGGACTCTCAAATGCCTGCCCCACTCTCCACTGAGGCAGAGTCTAGCCAAATGGCAGTCTGTGACTGCTCACCTCGCCACCAACCAAGGACCTAGGCTGGTCAGCAAGCTCTGCCCAGCCAGAGATGTCTGTCCCACAGCCCCTGGAGCAGAGAGCATGACAACCGTGCGTACGCCAGCAAGACTGCTGAGCGTCCTCCACAGCGAGAGCCCCTCTGACAGTAGGCCAGTAGACCACGTTTACATAGCTATATCCAACTGCCAAGCTTCAGGGGAGGATTAGCCCTTCAGGCAGTGGCAGGTCAGGGACCTGAGTTCAAATCCTGCCTCCAGCACCACTTGCTGAGTAACTCTTCCCTCTGAGCTATGAGCTTTGTTTCCCCCAGGCCACAGCAAACTGCCCATCTCGGGAGGGCTCAGCACTCCTACCTAAAACCTCCAGCAGGTCTCAGGAGCTTCACAGGGCAGCTGCCCATGCATGGCTGCATCCATACCAGGCACCGGAGAAAACAGCTTCTCCAACAAGGGCTTCCAGGCTCAATTTCCTACGTGGCCCCTGCCTCTGCCCACCTCCTGTAGCTCCAGGGCCCTCTCTGTAGAACAGGAACTGCTTATGGAAAAGCCACAGGTTCTTTAAGGGGCTGAGAAGTGTTTGATTTTCACAATAGAGTTTGGAGAGACAGCACGAGTTTGTGTTTGCACAAGGGAACCAGCTCAAGCTGCCCCGTTTCATGAGTATCATGCTCACAGGGGTATGGGTCCACATGTGTCCGCCCTGAGCATCTGTGTCAGCATTGTTGGATGTGTCTGTTCACGGGGATGGGAGGGTTGGCAGCTGTTTGGCACGAGGTGTCTTCAAGTGAGCCCCTATGCTTCTCTGGTATAGAAAAAAAGGTCCCTACACTGGGGGGGGGGTGATTTTTCTGGGGTTGAGAGACTGATTGAGTCTACATTGATGGGGTTGGACACAAGCAAGGAAATTCTGCTGGGTAATGAAAAGTGGAGAAGCCCTTAAGAGCAGGTGGAACTCATGGTGTGAGGACTGTGACCCACGTAGGCAAGTCTCACTGTGTGGCATGAAGGTTGCTGTCCCTGCACAGGGAAACCAAGCCAGGCCTTAATCTTCCCAACCCTGTTGGGATCCCTGCCAGGATCTGGATCCCCCTGTGAAATCAGCTTGATGGAACACTCCTAGATGATAGGGCTGGGGTGGGAGTGGGGCAGACTCTTCCCCACATGTTCCATGAGGCCTGTAGAGCAGGAACCGGAGGGGATGGTTAAGGATATCTGTTTCAGAGAGACTCAGAACGGAGGTCTGTCAGGCAGCCCTGGAGGCTGTGGTGGGGAGTGGAGCTCACCACAGACAGCTCAACTGGCAGCCATGGAGGCATAGGACTGGTGTGGATCCTTTGAGCTAGAAGGTCACTTTCCTCCTGGAAATAAGTTGTCACAGCTCAGTCAACAGACTTCCCACTTTGCGCTGGTGGAGTCCACTGGGCAAGTCAGATGTTGGGGAAAGGCAAGAGATGGAAGGAGAGGAGAGGAGAGCGGTTCGGGAAGAGAGGTAGAGGGATTTAGGAGCAGGTATGGTAAAAAGGATGCCAACTCCAGAGAAATTTGGGAGGTGGACTAGACGGGACTTCGTGTTAGAATGGACTCACTCAGTATGTATTGAGTACCTACTAGGTCCCCAGCAGAGGATGCTGGGTATAAAGATGATGAGATACAAATAAGTTACTTTCTTTATGGTCATCTTAGCCCCATGGTTGGAGGTTAACCTACTCACCCTGCTCCCCAAAGTGTGCTTTTGAAAGTTAGAGGAGTTAGAAGCTCTGTCCAAATGTCTAAGAGAAAGATCCAGGGGATGAAAAATCAAGCCTACAGAGACTCCAGTTCATTCCTGATTGTCCAGGTCCACATGATTTCCAAGGTCATGCATATTATTTAGAAAGAAGGATGGAGGGCCAGAAGAGCTGTGTAAAAAAGGCCAGGACCTTGATAGTGGGGTGAGAATCTGGCAGATGGCCAAAGGCCCTGGGGGAGCAGGAAAGGAGCCCCAAGGAGAGGCCCACACCTGCAGTGTGTGGCTTGTGGGCACCAAAGTCAGCTTGTAAATGATAGTGGCCCATGGATTTGGTGGAGAGGTTCATGGTATCCACACATTTTTTTCCCTGAGAAGATGACATCAAGGGTGAGGCATACCTAGATTGCACCCAATGGAAAGAGGCAGAGATGGCATTGAGCTACACCAGGGCCCTGACTCAGGGGTCCCTGTGGAACCATGGCAGAACAAGGGTGGAGACCATGAGCAGTATGACTCCTTTTTGGCTTCCTTCTTCGGGGCTTTCTTCTCCTTTAGGAGAAAGTCCTCTGGATGGGGTTTCTTTTTTTTTTTTTTAAAGATTTATTTATTTGTACAGAACTGGGGTACAGGCCAGAGATGCGGAGGGTGAGAGGATTCACCAGAGACAGAGCAGGGAGCAGAACAGGCAGATCGACGAAGTACACTGCTGAGGGGAGCAGCGGGCGGGTCAGGAGAGGTCTGCCTCGCCATGTGGTCACCTCCGGGGCAGGCGGGAATCGAACTCATGTGGAAGCGGCTTTAGATTCTCAGTGCAGTGCTTTAACCCGCTGCGCCACCAGGGAGGGCCTGGATGGGGTTTCTTATGAGCGTCAGTCCCATAGGCTCTGGGGGAAACTGGAGCTGTGGTCTACCCTACCCTTATCACAGAGGAAGGTATCACCAGGGGGAGGAAATGCGCCTCCAAATGCCTCACATCCTTTAGGAGCTCTTTATCTATGACCTCACCTGCCACTGCTGGGGTGGGGCTCCTTGTCCTCACTAGGGACTTGAACCCCAGGAGCCCAAAGACTTGCCTGGTCTACACAATCAGTATTGACAGAAATGGAGCTTGAACTCATATCTGTTTGGCACCCCCTGGTAGTCTACTATTTCCAGGACCAGAGAACCAGGAAATGCTGGTCACCTGGCTAGGATGACTCCCTCAGGTAGCTGTAGAGGGCATCAGCGGGGAAGCTAGAGTGGCCTGTCATTGGGCCAGGAAAGCCCTCGGAGCTGAAGGCAGAATTTCCCTGGTAGAGCCTGCTATCGAGGTATCTCTGTGTACTCAATTTGGACTCTCCACTTCTGCTCCTTAGAAAATCCCTCCTCCTTGAGCCCCAGCTCCCTCAACTGTACCGGAACTTAATTATCTCTGCTTCACAGAGGAAACTGCCCCAGAAGGCTTTGTAGGGGAATCCTGTCATGGAGGAAGCAGTGCTTCAAACTTTCCTCTCATCCTCACCACTTTGAGCAGTTTCTAAGCAGAAGACTCAGCCTTGCTGGAATTTTCAGGGACAGCAGCTCCTTGTCCAGTCCTAACCTCAGGGAGCATCTTTTTGCATAGATGTGGTGATGTGGGGACCCCAGCCTGTACTCAGACCCAAAACTCATAGGGTCCTGCATCACTCTTTGGAGATTTTAGTGCAGGGGCAATGCTACAAGAAGCTTGTCCTTCCCAGAGAGGGGGTCCTGGTCACTCCAGGCCACACCAGACACTTGAAGCAACATTGCTGGCCTTTGTATTTGTAGCTCTTGTCTACATCCCTAGCTGTGCACCTTACAGAGGTCAGTGCCAGTGTTCCCAAGTCCCTGACAATGTTGAGTCCTGAGTGGCCTGGAAGGATCTGAGCATGATTGACCCCCAACCACGTGTGGATTCTGTATCTATCCAGACAGATTTCAGTAAGGTCCACCTTGTATGGTGACCTTGCGGCCCCCTGCACTCAGTGCTCTCATGCAGTGGTCTAATGGGAGGGAGACAGGGAAGGTGAGGCCCAAACCATAGGTACAGTGGTAAAGCATCCTGAGCAAACAGGAAGGGGCGGTAATGAAATGAGAGTGAAATAGTTAAGAGAAGGCCTTGAGGGGACTGGTATGTTTGGGCTGGTGGCAGAGATGAGTGAGGTCTTAGCCCTCAAGCTAGACAGTTGGGTCATTTGCCTAATGGGGAAAGGAGACCCAATGTAGCAGAGAGGTTTGGGGACTCAGTTGAGACTGAACTGGACATGGCAAGTTTGAGACCAGGGCACCTCCAGGAAGGTTCAGTTGTAGCACATGGATCGCAGAGGTCGGGAAGAGATCAGGGCCCAAGATACATGGAAGTCACTGATAAAGAGAATTCCTAGCACTGGAAGGTTACACGGACCCAAACAGGCAGTGTGCTCAAAGCGTGCCAGAGAGACTGCCTTTTTCACTTCATTCCATGGTTCTTGGGGCAGCCTGCTCAGGCCAGTTAGTCATGGTGGACATGTCCATCACTCCACAGGTGGTGTGCCACACCTGCCCACCGGTGTCCTGCCCTCCTCAGCTTGCACCCCTCCCCGTGTACTCCCTCCAGGGCTGGAACCCCCCCCCCCACTGATGACTCTGTCCCCAGCAACAGTGTCATCAGATACC